CAAGTGTTGCAGGTTTCGTACACAACAGAACCATATTAGGGAGTGGGAAAATCTGTACGTGAGGGGGCCTATTGGGAGGGACTCTGCTTTAGAAGAGATAAAGGTGGTTCTTCAGGATGGTTACCAATGCCAACACCTCGCCTTGCCCATGCTCTCTCTGGCATCCTGGGTTGAGATTAAATCGGTTACCCCACACACCCACCTATCATCCATGAGAGTGATTTGTCATCAAATAGGTGAAAACAATGGGTTCAATGAATATGTTGATTACTATGTGCTAAATACATACAAAATTTACTTGTTAATTATGTGTTAATAAAACTGTGAAGCATCAGGGAATTTACTATAATGTATTGATCATAATCAATGTAATGATGATATTCATACAGATAACGATGTATCTCATTTTCTAGCTACAAACATTCAGTGATGTATGTCTCATGGTTTGATCATATTAATAACTTGATGTCCATAGGTTAGAGGAAAAACTTCCTACTGTTGAGTTACAATGAGTGGAAAGCAGTAATCATAATTGTTATAGTCAGCACACACCATCTTCCCCCCCCCCAAGTTCTTTTATTGGTACATTTTAGGTATACAATTTGTTTACATTTATCATTGCGTGTTTGTACCTGTACATGGTGTATCTTGATTCTTATTTTTTCCCCATTACCTGTGCACCCTTCACCCGCTCCGCCCTTCCCTATTTACACAGACATCATTTCCATTTTTTTCTTTTCTCATAATTTTCCCTTTCCCACCTTTCCTTTCCCCTTCCCCTCCTTTAACCCCTTCATCTTTGAACCTTTTTTCCTATTTCCAACTATCCAATATTCATTTTAATCATTTTAACCCTTGTTTACACTATCAGTTTCTCACACTAGTGAAAGTATTTGGTACTACACATGTGTGTCCTGTTTATTTCACTTGAGTATGGCCTCTACATGCAACCATTTAGTTATAAATGACTCTAGTTTTTCATTCTTTATGGCTGAGTAGTAGTCCATTTTATAAAAAAAAAAAACACATCTTCTTTATCCAGTTTCCAATTGATGGGCACTTGGGTTGCTTCCAAGCTTTTTTTTATTTTATAACTGTGCTGCTATAAACATGGGTGCACATATATCACTGTGGTATGATTCTTTTAATTCTCTTGGGAAGATACCCAGCAGGGGAATAGCTGGGTCAAATGGGACCTGTAGTCCTAGTTCTTTGAGGTTTCTCCATACTGATTTTCACAGTGGTTGCACCAGTCTGCACTCCCACCAATAATGGAAAAGGGTTCCTTTCTCTCCACACCCCTGCCAGCATTTGTTATTGGTTGATTTCTTGATAGCAGCCATTCTTTTGGGGGTGAAGTGGAACCTCAGTGTTGTTTTCATCTGCATCTCTCCAATGACCAGTGATGTTGAACACTTTTATCATATATTTGTTTGCTGCTTTTATTTCTTTGTCTGAGAAATGTCTGTTCATTTCAGATGCCCATTTTTGAATTGGGTCTTTGAATTTGGGGGGTCTGATTTTTTTCAATTCTTTGTATATTCTTGATAGTAGTCCTTTGTCTAAGGTACAGCTGCTAAAAGTTTTTTCCCACATTGTAGGTTGTCTGTTGGTTCTGTTGGTGGTTTCTTTTGCAGTACAGAAGCTTTTTAATAAGATGAGATCCCAGTTGTTGATTCTTTCTGCTAGTTCCTGTGCTACTGAGGTTTTGTTCATAAAGTCTTTTCCTATGCCAATGTCTTACAGAGTTCTACCTAACTTATCTTCCAGCAAGTTTAGTGTTTCTGTTTTAATATTTAGATCATCTTTAATCCATTTTGATCTTAGTTTAGTGCATGGTGATAGGTATGGGTCTAGTTTTAATCTTTGGCAGGTTGAGATCCAATTTTTCCAAACAAAGAAAGTATACTACAATGCTACTGTGATAAAAACCACGTGGTACTCATAAAGAAACAGACCTGAGGATCAGTGGAACAGATCACAAGATGCAGAATCAACTATAGGCACACTCAGCCACCTCTTCTTTGACAAAGGTGCCAAATACCCTCACTGGAGAAAAGACAGCCTCTTTAATAATTGGTTCTGAAAAAATTGGGTTTCAACTTGCCAAAGATTAAAACTAGACATATATCTTTTACCATGCAGTAAAATAAAATTAAAATGGATCAAAGATTTAAGTATTCAAACAGAAGCAGTAAACCAGCTGGAAGAGAGGTTAGGTAGAACTCTTGAAGACATTAGCATAGGAAAAGGCTCTATGAACAAAACCTCACTCGCACAAAAAATCAACAACTTGGACCTCATCTCATTAAAAAGCTTCTGCACAGCCAGAGAAACCATCAACAGCGTGAAGAGAGAACCCACAATGTAGGGAAAAATTTTTACCAGCTGTTCCTCAGAAAAAGGTCTACTATCAAGAATATACAAAGAACTCTAAAAACGCAGACCTCCCAAACTTAAAGACCCAGTCCAAAAGTGGGTTTCTGAAGTGAACAGACATTTATCACCCAAAGAAGTGGAAATAGCAAATAAACATGAAAAAATGTTCAACATCACTGGTCATCGAGAGATGCAGATGAAAACAACACTGAGATTCTACCTCACCCCAGAAAGAATGGCTGCTATCAAGAAATCATCCAATAACAAATGCTGGTGGGGTTGTGGGGAAAAAGGGAACACTTCTCCACTGTTGGTGTCAGTGCAGAGTGGTGTAAGGACTGTGGAAATCAGTGTAGAGATACCTCAAACAAACTAGGATTAGAGGTCCCATTTGACTCAGCTTTTCCCCTGCTGGGCATCTTCCCAAAAGAGTTAAAAAATCATACCAGAGTGATATATGTGCACCCATGTTCATAGCAGCATGATTTGTAATAGCTCAAACATGGAAACAGTCCAAATGCCATCAACTGGATACTGTATAAAGAAAATGTATGTTTTTTTAAAATAGAAAATAGAAAACTACTCAGCCGTAAAGAATGAGACACTACAGACATTTATAGCTCAATGGCTGCACATTGAGCCAATAATCTTAAATGAAATAAATAGGACACACACATGTAAATACCGAATAGTTTCTCTGGTATGAGAAACTGAAAGTGTAAATAAAGATCAAAATGTATAATAGATAATGTGAAATAGGAAGAAAAGGTCCAAAGGGGAAGGGGAGGTAGAAGGTGTAGGGGAAAGGAAAAAAGGAAAAGAATAAATATGAGAAAAGGAAAAATGAAAACAAAGATTTTGTAAATAGGGAGGGTTGGAGGGGTTGATGGGTGGGCAAGGGAATGAGGAAAAAATAAGAACCAAGATATGTCATGTAAAGGTACAAATTCTCAACGATGAATGTCATCATATTGTAAACTTAAAATGTTCTAATAAACTTAATGAATAAAAAAAAGTGTATCCCTTCTAATTACTGGCATAGTGAACTTTAGTATTACCTTGAAGACACCTCAGGAAAAAAAATCCCCCAACCTGAAGTTCAGAGTGGGAGTAAAGGAAACCGACCAGTTAACTCCTGCAAGGCCAACAACAACTGAGGAATAGGGTGCTAACTTGTCCCAATAAGCAGTTAGCATTGATTAAGATGTCCTAGCAATGCTTACTCAGGATGCCCAGCATGACCTGTGGCGTATACAGGGTGATGGGAGATGCCCTTGTACAAAGGCCATGCACAACTCCTTGTGAATCATCAACCACTGTGCAAGCATTAGGTCCTGGGCACTAGGTGGGTGAATGACCTCACCTCCTTCTAGAAACGGACTTAGTCCCTCCTCCAGTGCCAATGTTTGTTGCTCACATTCAGACAGGCTTGACAAGGACTTGGCATCTATTGAGGGAACTCCTTTGCCCGTGACCTGATTGCTTGTACCTCAATCCAGGCTCCCCATTTACCCCATCTTTTGTTTGTCTTCTGTTTTGGTACATGTTTGTACCAAAATATTTACAGTACATAATATTAGTAATCTCTTTTTGGAGTTGGTACCTGTACACAACACATCCCAATTGCTTTTTTTTATCCTGTATCCCTTCTTTTCATCCCCCTCCCTCCCTCCATCTCTTCATTCCTTCCCCTTTGAGAATGATCCATCTCCCTATTTCCTGTTATCTTTTATTTTGCTCTTTATTTTTTCTCTGGGGAAAAACTGGAAGCTTTCCTTCTGAAATGAGAAACAGGATAAGGTTATCCACTCTTCCCACTTATGGTTAACTTGCAATTTTAGCCAGAGCAATCATGGAAAAGAAAGAACTAAAAGGAAGGAAAGAATTCAAAATACTGAAAGATTTTTGGGTCTTCTAAGTAAACAATAATGTCATCTGAAAATAACATTTGCTTATTGAATTGATGGAAAAGGCAATATTGTCTACAGATGGAATAATAACAACGTTGTCACTGTTGCATCATCTGGTGCTGGTATTGATTCACTGTGTCATCAATCAATACTCCTAGTAACTGAAAAATAAGATAGAAGTTTAGCAGCCAAACACCATCAAAGTGCATAACCAGTTCACAGGAGGCATAGACACAGCTGGTAAAAACATTGATAACTATCTGCACCAATTCATGGAAGGAAATGATGTGAAAGAAAAATGAGACATTAAAGAGAAAAACAATGATAATCTGATTAAAGAGTAGTCCTTGAGGGGCACGTGTACTCTCTTCCAACTTTCTTTTTTGAGACCGGATCTTGCTATGTTCCCCAGGCTGGCTTGAACTCCTGCTGATCTTCCTACCTCAGCCTTTCAAGTGCCAAGATCACAGGCAGGGATTACCAGGCCTGGCTCTTCTAACATTGTATACACTTAAAAACATCACACACAGTGAAGTCTACTTAAAAATTTCCAAACTATGTCCATATATCCTTATCTTTGCACTTGTTATTGAAGGTCCCATTCAGGTCCTGAACTAAAACTCAAACACCAATTTATCTCAGTATGAGTAAATGATTAGTCAATATTCAAAATGTTTTCCTGATGAGTCAGATTATTCATTTCTAAATAATTTCTAGGACATTCTGTAGAAAATAAAGAGGGTTAGCTTTTAACTACAAACACTCAGCTCCTAGTACCTGCCACAGCTGAAACGCTACACCAGGCATAAGGAGCTCATCATCATGGCAGATGTCTATGGGTGGTTTGAAGGGATAGCATTCCCTCTAGCGTATTTCAACCTGGAAGTCTTAAGAGAAGCACGGGACACATTTGTGGTGAAGGATGAAGATATAATAATGGTGACTTATCCCAAATCAGGTAAGGAAAGGGGGTCATGAATGGTCATGAGAAAGGCTATGGCTGTGGGCTTCAGTCATCATGCTGATGCATGGAAAGCTGTCGCTATGCCAGCACTCATACAGTGCTTTAAGTAGCAAGCAGCAACATGTAATACCTTTTCAATTCAGAGAAAAGGAGAAACAATTACATGGGCAGATGAGAGTTCAGAGAGAACATCTAAGACACCACAGAAATGCAACGAGGGCATACAAAGGCAGAGTCTGGCATGTGATTGACTGTGGAGGTGGTAGAGGATGACAGTGGAAGTCAGGTGCTGCTCAGAAGCCAAGGACAATGAAAAATTAGTAAAAGGGTTTCTGCAAATATTGAAACAAATTACTTAAACATCTATTGGTGGAAAACTAGAAGACACTCAAATATCAACTGACTGATGCATAAACAAAATGTGAAATTTACAGTGGAATATCATGCCACCAAAAAACAAAATTCTGACTCATGCCACAACATGGATGGATTTTGATGTCATTAAGCTAAATGAAATAAGCCCATCACAACAGGAGAACTATTATATGATTCCACTTATGCGAAATACTTGCACTACTCAAATTCATAGAAACAGGAAGTAAAATGCTGCTTGCCATAGGGTGTAAGTTGGAGTTACTAGGGACTGGTTTATTGCACAGAAACATTGCTTATTCTTGGACAAAAAATTTGGAACATTTAGCAGCAATGGGAGTATACTAAACAATACTCAACAGAGCAATGACATGTGCTTAAAAATGGCTGTGATGTTCAATTTTATATTGTGTATATTTCAACAGTATTGTTTATACAACTCATGTTGAAAGAAGTGACCATCACTCTTCTTTGTTCAGGAACCCACTGGTTGATTGAGATTATCTGCCTGATTCATTCCAAGGGGGATCCCAAGTGGATCCAATCAGTACCTACATGGCAACGTTCACCCTGGATTGAGACTACACATGGATATGAATTATTGAAGGATAAAGAGGGCCCACACATTTTCACATCTCACCTGCCCATTCAACTCTTCCCCAAGTCCTTTTTCAATTCCAAGGCCAAGGTCAGCACCTAATGGTTAAGAAATGTCTATTTAATACCTTTAAAATTGTATGTGCTTAAATATTCCCTGGAGATTTAGCTGGAAATAATTCTCATTAGGTAGATTTGGGTGGGATCTGAGAATCTCCTGAGTTAGTTGACGCTGATGTGTCAAACCCTGAGGCCATACTTGAATAAATGTGTGTGGACCACTCTCTATTATCTAGACCTATTGAGGGTAAAATGGAAGAATTAATCCAATAGTTTAGAAACCCACATTTAAAGGCCATCCAGGATTTATGTCTGTATGGGATAGATTTCCCACATTTCCTTGCTGCATTACAAGATTATGGGCCAATCTTAAACATACGTCCCTCCATTGATATATGTGTAAACTTCCACATCTGAGTTGTCCACACGGGAAGCAGCAGGTTCAAACCTTGCCTAGGGCCAAGTGACTGCTGTAGGGTCAAGTTTGGCTTTTCTAACCACCACGTCTTACTACATGTAGCTGCCTGCTGAGCTAAGCAGCCACTCGAAGCATCCAAGTGGCTGCTAGCTCCTCCCCTGAAGGGCACAGGTATATTCGGATTCTAGCATCCCATGCAACATTTTTACAAATATTCTCTCCTGAAAGTTATATCATGTATTGTGAATTATAAATATTTTACTTAAACTATAGTGAAACCCCTAGAAAATAGTCCCCTCTTTAGAAAAAGTCACATTTGTACAGTACAATGTTGTGTTTCAATGCAACTACTGGCCTGACACTATTTGGGGTTGGGTGAATCCCTGCCTAGGAAATTAAATACTAAAGAGAGATGGGGCCAAAATAATGGAAAGATGACCCACAGAGAGTTACTGTGAAATGAGTCTGTGTTCATCACCAAGTGAACTTTGTGTGTTGGGATGTGAGTATAAATACACACTAATGTCAAATACCAGTTTCACAAATACTTACATAACTACACAACTGGCAAAATGTCATCCACACAACATTGAGAACATTTCTGGCCCCCAAAAGCGTCTCCCCAGTCAGTGAACAACCACAGAGGTAACCACTCTCCAGGCTTAATACTATGGATTACTTTGTTTGCTCCTGAATTTTGCATACATGGACCATCGTGTATGAATTGAATGTCTGACTTCTCCACTCACTGTAAAGTCCTTGAGATTCATCTATGGCTTGGATATGTGTACAGCTGTACATTGCTATGTGTTAATGAATATAGTAGAATTTATTTATTGGTTTTCCTGTTAGTGATCTTTTTAGTTAAGTACAGATTTATCATACTATTTACAGTTTAAAACCTCTCAGTGAAGTCCTGCAATGCGTCGACAGATGTCTCAGGAGGAACATACATGCATTCCTCCTCTTTTATTATATTTCCATTGCAGTATTTAGTTCATATAATGTTAAAATGTATATTTGATTAATGAGTGCTGTAAGTAATTCGTTAATATAAGATATGATATATAATAGGCACTTTGTACAAAATGCTTTAGTGAAACCCAAATCAGCTGGAAAATGACCCTCCGGATTTTTCACTTACTTATCTTTTCCTTTAAGGTGATTTATGGCATTAGGAATCCCAGAGATGTTCTCGTGTCTGCTTATTTTTTCTTAAGAAAAATGAATATTACTAAAAAACCAGAGACACTGCAAGAACATATGGAATGGTTCCTCCAGGGAAGTGGTGAGTGTGCTGTGGGGAAACTCACGGTCTTTCTCAGACATCCCTGGACGCCTCTGACTCTCCACTTCTCAGCAGCCCGAGGCTCCCTCCTCCCTGGAGCACAGATCTGCTAAGGCCCCTGCTCTCCTGCACAGCACAGGGCTCCAGCCCACCCTCACCTTGCTCCCTCCTAACCATCCTATTTTCTGAGTCCGCATGGTGTGTAGTGCTGACACAAACTGCTCGTGCTTCTCCACTCTCCTAATTTATGCCTTTCAGGAGGGCAAACATTCATTCACTTACCAGAATATAAAATCCTTTCCACCATTTCTCTAATAATGCTTCTTTCCAAAACTCTTACCATCTTCTCTATCCGTCTACAAAAAAGTATGACATTAGAAACTCTGTAAGTTTAATGAGTAGAATTTTTGGACTTTCTCAGGTATTTTTAAGTTAGCAAATTTTCTCAAAACTATTTGAAGATAGAACCAAGTGTGGTGGAAAATGCCTGTAGTCCCAGAACTCAGGAGGGTGAGGCTGGATGATCGCCACAAGTTCAAGGCCAGCCTAGGATATACATAGCAAGTTCAGATCAGTCTGAACTACAAAGTGAGACCCTGCCTCAAAAAAAAAAAGAGAGAATTAGAAAAACCATTATATGAGGAGTCCCACATCTCCACTGTGGTATGTCCCCCCAGCTCCAAAAAGAAATATTCCCAGCATAAAGCCACCGATTTATCTACACAACTATTGTCACCAGACAGAGACCACGGAGGTCCCCCAAAGAGGAAGTTGTGATCTTAACTCACACCATTCATAGAGGAAGTCATAGGTTTCTGACTTCTATGACAAAAAAATATTTTTTCAAGATGCATAAGTAAAGGGCAAAAAAAGTGTATTAGACAGAAGTATTACACTACACACTCAGGAAACATAGAATCTGGGTGCTCAAGACAGAGGCACAATATGGTCCGCGGTTGGATTTTATATTTGTTCTTGTGGTATTCTTAAGAGGGTGATCTCGGATGTGTATTCCTCCTATCAGGCAGGCTCTTTGGTAGAGTAGACTAGGATGTCAACCATTTGCATGTGTTCGGAATTTAGAGATAAACCAGGCTCTCAATTATGTCACTTCATTGAGGATGGAGGTTGTACTTTGAACAGCAATTTACAGGTAAAATGCACGGACCCCAATTTTCAGAAGTGTTGTGTATTTAAGACCCTTAGGCAGTTTTCAGAATGGAAAAAGACATCAAAACTTTCCATCATTTCTGTGTGCTTAGCTTGTGGCTTTACTTTAAACACTATTTTATGTACCTCTAAAATAATATAAGCCAAAAAAAACCCCACTATTTTATGACTGTGATTATTCTTTCCTCCATTTTACCAATTTTTCTGTTTTTGCACTACCTTATTTTTTCCCTGAGAGTTTGATCTTTTGTTTTTAAGGAATGTCCTTCTTCCTATGGCTGCTTTAGGCTTAGAGATGTTGTTGGGCCTTTCTAGCCAGAAATTGAAAGTCTTACCCTGCCTTATGCTAAGGAGGCATAGGAAGATCTGGTGTTGTTTAAAGCACCATCATGCTTTGATACTTCATTCTTGGAAAATTAGGACATCAACAAGTCACTGAAGCTTAGGAAGAGATGGACATTAACCTCACTTGTGAATGTCAGTCTTGTAAAATAGAAGTTGAAATTTAGAGTTGTTAGGAGCATATACATAACATATTGTTTTGAAAATAGTACACATGAAGATCAGGTTGACCTGGAAAAGTCTGGAATTATAGATTTTATAACGATGTTAAAGAAACAGGGAAAAAAATTTAAAAGTACAATATGATGAATAGTGCCCCCTAAAACAGTAAAAATCAGATAATATTGGGCAGTATTGGTATAAGCCTTTTATAAGCAATATTAATCTTTAGTTATGCTCTAGTGTTAACTCAGTGAACAGGTGCATTTTAAGACCATATAGAATTTTCCCCTGTTCTGTTAACAAAATATCTAACATCTTGTCATTTTAATTATAATAGTTTCCAGGGAATAGAATAAGTAAAGCAATTCCATGTTTTGGTATACATCAGGTCATTAAAACTACCAATGTAGGTCTCAGAAGTTGGAATGCGACCTCTACTTTGTAGGCATGAACACCTTTGTAGTGACTGACTTTAGATAAATAGATAAACCCAGAAGTAGACAACAGAAAGTTAGTTTATTTCACAAAAATAAAAATGTTCACTGGTTAGAATATTTATTTTAAAGGTATAAATTCTCTATGATGAATTTTATCATTATATGTATGTAAAATGTACCAATAGATGTTTTGCTTAAAAAACATATAAATATTGTCATTTTCATCTTATGGGCTGCCTGCACAAGAAAAAATATCTTCATCAGAGGGATACTTGAATGTACATCAGAACGTCTTAACAGTAATGCAGGAAAACAGGCTAAAGGACACAGTTTTGGAAGAGGTAGTAGAACTGGGAATCTGGACCTCGCATGGCTGTAGGTTAAGATGTTAAAGGTGTCACTAGAGACTGCCAGCAGCTGCTGTCATGTTTGGTGCCCCTGTTTAGGTCCAGTCTAGCTGTCCCTGTTAATATTTCCATTAGATACTATATTTTGGGGTGCATATTTTGCTGTATATTTAAGGCCAAGTGAAATAGACCTGTGTCAATCAAAATTAACCTATGTTTTAAAGGTCAATCAAGAGTCCTCAGGGGATTATTTCTGGGGCCCTTTGAGGAGCTGCTTGCCTCTTCTATTTCTTTTCTTTACCTCTTGTGTTATCAGCAAGGATGGGTCAAGGCCTTGTTTCACCATATGGCTTCCATTGAGAGCATGGGGCCATTCCCACTTCAGTGACCCTCTTTTTCCTGAGTGCATATTGTCTGGCTCCTGCCTTCTAGAGTCTAACAGTGTTCCTGCTTGAGAGATCAGATGACTCACCAGAGTTGCAGGGTCTCTTACAGGAGTCTCATCGTTCCCCGGGTCCTGGCTGACTTTGCAGGCAAAAGCCCTGGGTACTGGCTGCCCTCTTAGTCCTTTTGTCTTAGTTTTCTTCCCCAAGCCTAGATTATTGAATGTCCAGAAAGTCAGTGATACCAGATTTAAAGTGGCAGCAATAGGTTTTTATTCTTAGATCTTTTCTGCATATCGAGGCACTTTGAAATATAAAAGAAGACTGAAGACAGTTGCACCTTTTATTTTATAAAACACAGGATTAATATTGTGTGTTCATGTTATATCCCTTTTGCCTTATAGGTGATGGCTATCATCTTAAAACACTGAGCGAGTGCTTTGTTAGAGCTCTGTTTTATTGAATGTTAGTATATAACAGATACAAAGTTCATAAGAAAAACATTAAACAAAATGGATAAAAGCAAAATTAAATTCAATTAGCATACTTCTTCAGCGTCAAGAAGCATAATTAACATGTCTAGCTTTGTTACAAAGCAGTATCCAGAAGTACAGGTTAGAATTTTTTAATAAATGTGGTCGGGAACATTTTATTTATATCAGTACATGTTTGCAGTACATAATGATACATTCATCGTGGGAAGTGGGTACATGGACATAATGAACTTCAATTTTTTTACTTCTCCTCCACGTCTCTCACTCTCCCACCATGCTATATCTTGATCTCCTTTGCATTTTCAAAAGATGTATCTTCTTTTTTCCTATTATCTATCTTTTATTTGTTCTTTAACTTATATATACCTTGAGTTTCTCATACCAAACTATGCAATATTTAAGCTTGTCTGTCTAATAAGTACTCAGGTAGGGTACTCTTACCTAAAATATATAACAACTTTAAATACATAGACCCTTTTCCCAAAGAAGAGATTCAATCAAAACATGTGCAATAGAAATGAATTGAGAATTCTTCAAGTAAAAAAGAGGACTTCCAGGAAGATGGTGGAGCAGCAAACAGCAGCAAATCAACCTCTCCAATATTCAGAATCCAGACTCTACAGATGACAACTTGGAGAAGCAAAGAAGCAAGGAGGTGGATCCCCAGGACCCAGGCAGGACCTGAAGGAAAATTGGAGCCCACAGACAAATTGAAGAGAGACCGCAACACAGAAAATAGAAAGGGCAATCTGCAATTTCCTTTTCTCCTGTTTCATGGCATGAGAGAGGGGGATCAAATCAACAGACACCGAGAGAAAGTGAGTGACTCTAGAGACCTGCAGAGATGAACATACCAGTGGAAGAGAACAGTGAATGCTGTGCACTACAACAGCTGGTGAGTGACTCCAGTCCATGGGACCGCAGTGTCCCCTGAAGACAGTGCTTGGTCAGACACCATTGTAGGGAGGGGCCAACTGAACATGGGACTCAGAGCAGCCATTTGTTGATTTCATATCAGGGCTCCCAGTGCTAAGCTCCCACAGTGCCTGGGTGAGGAACAAACCTGAGAGATGTCCAGGTACAGCTGTGTTCAGGCCTGGAAGAGACAGAGTGTTATAGCCTAAATGACTCAGGTCCCAATCCCATGACCAGAGGCCGTCCCTCAGCCAGACCTTCTATGGACTTGCAAACACCAGGACTGGCGCCCCACACTAAACTTGCTTTCTGGGCTTGCTGGGATTATCCAGCATGGATCTGGGCTCTGACTACCTCCTTTGTCAACTAGGGAGAGCAGAGTCATGCCCTGAATTGAACACTGCCACAGAACTGTAGGCCCCAGAAGATAACCACAGCCTTGAAATCATGGAGAAATTTCTTCCTATTTTCCCTGTTCATTTGGGGTTGTTGTGGTGGTGGTGGTTGTAGTTGCGGTTTTGGGCATTTTTGAAACAAGTTCTCACTATAATGTTCAGGCTATTCTTGAACTCACTGTATAGTCCAGGCTGGACTTGAATTCATGGCAATCCTTGTGTCTCAGCCTCACAACTGCCAGAATTACAGGTGGGTACCACTTTGCTTGGCTTAGTTATTGTTAATTGTTTGCTTTTGGTTTTTGTTGAGTGTGAACAAGGTTTTTGGCTTTTACGTTTTGTTTTGTTCTTGGTT